CTCTGCCTTTAGGACTGAATGCAGGTGTTTTATTTCCTTCATTGAGAAGAGGCTGCTGTGTGTTTAACACACCTTGGTTTCCTAGTGATCTGTGGATGATTTGCACTCCCCAAATCCTATTGCTAATTAAAGAGTAGAACTCTTCTGCAAATGGGAGAATTAGCATCAGGCAAAGATGAGTTCCCTATTTGGTTATATAATGCAAGGTGGTTAGTCTTAAAACCATATATGCACAACCATTAGAAATGGATTCAACAAATTTCATTCAGCATACATGTTCACATATGCATAACAAGGAAGAAATTGGCTGGGAACAATCTGGGATTCAGAGAGGACAAGGAAGGCAGAAGTTGTTGCAGAATATTTGAATATGGTTTATAGAAAACCTAATTTTTAGCAAAGTATGCAAACTTAGACAGAGTGCTCTTGTCAGATAAAGTTAGGTGTATTCTGAAAAGATTCAGTTTCGCTGTGTCTTTGAAAGCCTCCATCGATAAGAATGCTATAGAATGGACATTCCTGCATATTTTAAGGCAAATTACTTGAGAGAAGTGGTCATTGCTTTGTGACCCTAGGCAAAGTCATCGGGACGGCCTTGTGTGGCCACAAGGGAGACGTGAAATGGATTGTTCCCTTAGTGACTTTCTTTAAACCACCCCCCCACCTTGAGGGTGACTAGGTTCAGCCTGCCAAGAGTATAGTGGAGGAGCTAGAGACTTCTTTTTTTTTATATCACTTGGACAACTTGGCAGGTGCTCTAAATTTGGGTGTTCTATCTATCTATCTGTCTGTCTGTCTGTCTGTCTGTCTATCTCCCTCTGTTTCACTCTCCTCTTCCCTCCTGCTTCATCTCCCCTTCCTCTTTTTTTCTTCCTTCACTCTCACTCTTTCCCTGCCTCCCTTCTTCCCTCCTTCTCCACCTCTCTCCCTCTCTCCCCTCTCTTGCTCTCTTCTCTCTCTTGGCTTGCAAGACCTTCATGGAAAGAAGCTCCAGGTAAGAGACAGGGATTTTCTCACTGGACTTACGGAAACCACAAAGAAGCAGCTGGCTGGTGAAACAGGATATGAGGAAAGCAAGCTAAGGAGCCCTCATGGATTTGGAGGAGTCAAGAGAAAGGTAGACTGGCTAGGTAAAAGGACTCAGATAGAAAGACATTTCTGATGAACTAGAAATTTAGTTGTAGAATCAATCTTGAAAATAGATATTTTGTATAAAGTTAAGAAAACAAAGTTACCTCATTGAGGTAGCAGCTCCCAGCTCCCACCCCACACCCCACATGTCATTATTAGGAATAAATATTAGATGAATTTGAAAAGATAAATATTGCAAAAACTGTTGTAATATATTTTCATTAAAATGTATAAAAATATATTCTAAATTAAAAAAAAAAAGCAGGTGGAGAGAGGGGTTAGCAGTTATGAGCACTGTATATTCTCTCATAGGACATAGATTCCATCGCCAGAAACCACATGATTGTTAAAGAGCTCTGTAACTCCAATTCCAAAGGATAGAGTGCTCTCTTCTGGTCTCTGCAGGTACTTCACACAGACCTTGCTGGCAAAACATTCATCTACATAAAAAAAAAAAAAAAAAAAAAAAAAAGCTTTAAAATGGAATTCACTATGATGATGCCACAGCAGGGAGACAGACAGCAGGCTAGGCTGCTTAAAATGCACCCCTATTCCTGCATGGAAGCAGCTGTGGCCTTCCTCTGACCCATCTTGCTCAGAAGGAAAAGCAGCCTCATTCTGAGGTTAGAATAGTTCAGCAGAGCTGTACATATAAGAACCAAAGTGCTGTTAGGTGACTTTTTCTTGATGCTTTCCATGCTTGTGTTCTTTGTCCTTGGTATGTGTGAGAACTGTGGCATTGCTGTATCTGTTAATTCTCTTTTAGATCATACATCATGATCAAACAGGTAGATTTGTTCTGTAAATCTCCATCTGACTCAGTGGCTACACTTGCAGTCTCCTTTCCCTATTTAATTATTTAAAGTACAACCTGGGACCTGAACCTAAAAGAGTCAAGGATGACAGCAAATGTGGAATGTACAATCTGTTCTTGCCTGCCCTTCCTTGGGCATTAGGCAGAGTTGGATGCATGTTATCATGAAAGAGATTTTTCTGTATTGATCTCTTATGTGCGTGGAAATGGATATGAATTCATATCCTGGAAATGGATATGAATTCTAGAACAGCTGCACCTCCAGCCTTTTAGAAAAATGTTTCTGAGACGTTTCCTATGTTGGCTCAGATAGCCTTGAATCCATCCTATTGCTACACAGGGCAATGGTATTGCTGTCCTCTTGATTAAACCAACTAAATTCTTAAAGTAAAGGTCTATACTACCCCGAGTTTCTAAATTACCCATCTGAGTCATGTAGTCATTGCAGTAATGGGTAAAGGATTTGCATGAGGAGCATAGATTCTGCCTTCAGACCAGAAGATAAGGAATAGTTTATTGTGTACACAGAAGAAACAGTGCAGGCAATCAGCTGCTGTTGTCACCAGTATGAAAAAGAGCCTGATTACTAGAGGGGGGACTGTTTTTTTTAATTTTCTAGCATGTATTAATTCATGTTACGTGAATGAAGACAGACCATATTGTTGTGTGTACAATTTGGGAAGGCTTGCTTCAGCCAATGAGTACTGAATTTACGATTATGGCACTGTGCTAAGAAGATACATACAATCATTCCTGACAAACTCAGCTCAGTAAGTTAAGGCACAGGCCTTTGGCTGTAGCTGTGTCAGGTTATATGTCTCAGCAGCTAACATTGCACACATGAGCAAGGTCAAAACTTACCTTACTGATGCCATTCCTTCTTCCAGGAAATGGCCTTACCTTCTTCAAAGCCAGTACAGCTATGTGGTTTTTTTTCTATTACATTTATAGTTTTAACAAGCCAATTATTGGTTTCACTTTTTAACTTTGATTTTTTTTTTTTGAAGAGCCATGAGTTATATTGGGGTTACCTATAGGAATATCAGTGAAGAATTACTTATGGAAGTACAAATGACACAGAGACAGCTGTATCAGCAAACTAATCCCAGCATGGTGACAGCTCACAAAAGCTGGGAAACTGGAGCATGCTGCACAGCCTATGTTACCTCAACAAGTTGAAGAGTGTCCCTTCCGAGTGTCTCAGGTGTTCTAACCACTACCAGGCAGCTCGGCTGGTTTCTTCTTCTCTTTTTCTTTTGCTTATTTCTTTTTAAAAACTTTTTATTTATTATTATTACTAGTTATTACAATTTAGTCACTTTGTATCCTGCTGTAGCCCCCTCCATCATGTCCTCCCGGTCCCACCCTTTTGAGTTTCTTTAAATGCATCACTTCTCTCATCTCTTACTTGTTTCTAGTCTCCAATGTTTCCCAGTGATTAAGAATTTCTTTCCTTTTCTCACAAGTGCTGTTGATCATTTATTTCTGTTTAGAACAATGTCTCCCGAAGCCCAGGTTTTCCTCATGCTGTGTAACTGAGAATTGCTTTGAAGACCCAATCCTGCCTCTATTGCCACATGCTGGGAAAGAGTCCTGTATCTCTTTCCAAGCTGGGCCTTGACTGGTCAGTACGAAGGAATATTAAACTAGTGCAGCAAACTCTCTGACTGTTATGGAGCACTTACAAATGAAGAGGGACCTGTGTAAGAATTGAGTTCACTGGCCAACAATAAAGCAGGTGTAGTCACAGCACTAAAGGGAGGAGCAAGAAAGAGGGTGTTTCCATGGTTTGGCTGTAGTTGACATTAGCAATAAGTGGGAGGTCATCATTTTTAGACGATTTTCCCAACTGGCCATTTCTCAGGTTCACAGACCAGAAAAAAACAATAATCTGAATAACGAATTGACTAAAACCCCAGCAGTTGGGTAATATAGGGTATTTTTCTTAATTGTAGTTTTTGAAGTGGAAAAACCCTTCTTTTCAGGTGATAAGATCCGTCTTCAATCTAGGCCAGAGCATCTGGTGGCAGCCTACATATATAAAGGACATTGAAGATGGTAGCTCTTTCTATTTTTCTGCTTGCCCTACTCTGGCTAGTATGATCACTTTCCCCCCTCTGGCAATAGAGCCTCCTTCTTCGTAATTCTGGTATGTACAGAAGACCAGCTGAGACATCCAGCTACATGGACTGAACCTCTCTTTTAGTTTTTAACTTTCTCTTGGTAGACAGCCATTGTTTGACTAGGTAGACTACAGCCTGTGAGCCATTCTAATACAGCCACTTTCTACATACACAGAAAGATGCATCAGTTCTGTTCATCTAGAGAACCTATGAGTTTTTGTTGTTGTTTTTCCACCCTTCCACTGAGGAAAATGTGCTGGCTAGCAATAGTGCTCCAGGTGTTTGTCATCTGTTTTCTGCTTATCTCCCAGGCTTGTGGAGAGTTTCATACCTAGCAAATGAAAAGAAGCTCCAGTTTATCTAACCCCAGCATGAAGTCACAGAAAGAAAAAAAAAAAAAAAAATCTTGCTTTGTTTTCCTAAAATCTCTCTTTAATTGTTAATACTCCCGCACCCTTACACCTATGGCACAGACTGTTCACTACTCTGCAAGTTGATTAATGAACTGTGGGAGTTATCCTCCTGAAGGGGGAGTGTCTAATGAACACTGTGATAGGAGTTGTGAGAAGCTCTGAAGTCGCCAAGATGGAAGGGTCACTTCCCACAAAGGGGAGGAGCGGGCTGCTGAGCAGCAGAAGTGGGGGTGGTCGGTCCTCGCCAGGGCTGAGTGCTGAAAAAGACAAGTCTGCTCTTAGCGGTCAGACACAGTGCTACTTGAATGCAAACGCAAAAATGTAGATCTCAAAAAGGTCTGGCCCTGTACTAGAAGCCTGTGTCAGCAATCTTTAAGCTCTGTCCTTTCAACACATGCTACCCCCAAGGGAGGTGCTCATGTCACTCAAAATTCACTGGCCAATCAGAACCCCTTGGCGAACCATCCAGTAAGAAGAGGAGGAGGGCGCTTCCGGGGCCGTGCTGCTGTTTACCTTTATTGCCGAGAAAGCTCAAATGGTTGGTCTAAGCTGCTCTGAGCGCTGTTGCTGGATGCTGTGAGCGGAGCTCAGGAGACATCCGAACCAAGACATGGTGAGCACAGGGTTATTGTTCCTAACAGGGAAGAACAGACGGCTGAGCAGCAGGAGCTGGGGTGGTGGGTCTCCCCGGGCTGGGTGAGAACAGGCAGAAAGATGTAGCTACCTGTAAGGTTCCTTGTGGTCCTATTTGCTCCGTGGACCCTGCGGTGCCATCTGAATAACTTCATTTTGGGAGCTACAACTGCACAAAGTGTTTGGAACAGAGGCTTGTGTTTAGAAACATCCTGGGCAGGGTACCAAACTCGAAGAGGCCTTGTATCTCTAGCATCGTCTAGAAGTTTTACCTTAGGTATTTAACATTTAGGTGTAAGAGCAATCTGGAGTTAATTTGTGGAGGTTGTAAACGACATCATATGTGTTGGGTAGCATCTGATATTAAGCTCTGGTGTAAAAGAGTGGAACTGATGATGTGAAGGATTTATCAAGTAGAATTTAGCTGAGGGAGGACTGTCTCTAAATCACCCCACAGATTAGTCATATGCTATCCAGGTCTGTTAGCGATTAGGATGCTGAGATACACATGTTTGTCCAGAAATATGACCCAAACCGTGATAAAGGAGACAACCCAAATTTACAACCAACCACTAGGCCCATCCTCATATCAAAGAGCAGGCCTCTAACAATCTGCTCCATGGGGTGTTACAGGGTCACAGCCAACACCAAGGCCTGGTGTGCCATAAAGGTCCAGTTTTCTTCTGAGAGAAGCATAGTTCTGCTACATGGGGTAGACACCTGGTGTGTTGAGTGCTGGCCTGACAAAACATGGCTTCCCCTTATGTTGTCTGTGTGGAGAATGACATAGTTCTTTCTCAAACCCAGTAACTTGCTTTTCAGAGCCAGTAACAGCCTGAGGCCTAAGCCTTGGGAACTTTCCCTAAGGCCATAATGTATTGATCAAACAAACAAACAAAAACATAGCTCCTTTTCTGAAAACAGAAAGGTGCTTGGGAGAGTTGGGAATAGTCTGGAGCCAGGACCTTTGGGGAGAGCTTGATTGAGAGTCTGCAAACCCAACTCTTAGCATCACATGGAGCTGTGGTTCCTCTTGTGTAGCACTGTTTTGTCCCACTCCTCCTGAATTTGTCCCTTTGTGGGATAGTTTCTGCTAACTTCATAGAAATCTCCCTTGTCCTTTCATTTCTCTCCTGGAAGTAGTAGACAAGCTGCTATTCTTATGAAGCTTCTCTGGCATAAAATACAGCTTCTGAGAATGGGGCCTTTCTGTTTGGAAGAAAGATCAGAAGTAGCTGGAGGCTCAGAAATAAAACAGATCAGAGGTCATGTTGTGTTATTTTGTGGGTGATATGAAGTCTGTGTTCACTTACCTTCCAAACACATAGGTAACATTGGTCACGTTCACATTTTTCCTGGTTGAGTTTCTGTATGATTTAATTGAGAAAACAAAAAGAATGAAAATAAAACATGCTCCAGAATTGAACAATAAATGAGAATGTGACAGGGGATTGTGTATTAGCATGCAAAATAAATTATTGATAGAAGTAGGTTGGGATTTTGCACAGTTGGCAACTAAATTTAGTTAAAACCATATTATGTTTTTATAGTTGATGTAAAATTACACATATTTAGTGTATGTATTCTGTTACATTTGGACATACTACCTACTCCCAAGTAGCCCAAGTACCACAAACAATAAAGTCAACCTTGTTCTCCCATGATTTCATTCTATCCACGTATATGTGTGTTTACAGTATACAGAGTTCTCATAAAGTGACAGGATTGCTATGGATCCCAGCAATCTTCTAGGTATATTTTTTCATACACTTGAAATTAGCTTTAAAAGTATCAGAACTCTCATGCTCACTGTAGTCATATTCATCACAGTGGCCTCAATTTTAAAATACCCTCAGTACTCATTTGTTTAGGACAAGCTGAGTGGCTCAGGAGGACATTGTGCTAAATGAGAGAACACAATAGCAATGGTTTAAGGATTATACACTTTTAAAGGACTCCCACAATTAGTGCAGTGTTGGTTATCAAACAGCATGTAATTGGAGCCTGAGCAGTATGGATGCACTTATTCCTCCCACCTGATTTTAATCTTTAATGAAATCTCATTTGTCAGATGGGTGGGAGAGAGAGCTTCAGCCATCTTGTCTACACTACAGGTAGCAATAGAAAATGAAGGGCAGGAAGAACATAGAGTCTAGCTGAAGCAACCACTTTCAAAGGGATGATATAAAAAGAAAAATAATTAAATGTCAATATTTTTATAGTAAGAGTTGTTATGGAGATGATAAACAAATGTACTATTATAGTATACTGTAAAAATGCAGAAAGTTGCTTTATTTGGAAGGTATGGGAGCTTTCTGCCAATGAGGTATACTAGATGGAAAAGTGAAAATGGGGTTAAGAAACAGACTGACTTGTATGAATTTAAATAATGATAATAAATATAGTTTACCAAAAAGGTAATAGTCTTAGACAGGTGACTCATCTCCTTGTTTTCTTCTGGTCAGTTAACCAGCGGTAGATGGTAACACTTTCATTTTTGCTTTGGGGAATGTGCTTAAACATTTAACATTTTTGAGCAGCAGCTGCAGCAGCTTCATGCCCTCTGTGTCTTCCTTCTCTTCATCTTCCCCTGCCTCTGGCTCTCTACAACGTAGCCATCCCAGCACCCTGGAGAGGTTAGAAACCAAACTGCACAGCCTCAGACAAAAGATGGTTAACCTCAGAGCCACAAATGTAAAGCTCATGCGCCAATTGCTCTTCATGAATGAGAGCATCAAGTCCATCAAGTGGATGATTGAGGAAAAGGCCACGATTACCAGCCGAGGCAATAGTCTCAGTGGCAGCCTGTATAGTTTGCTGAAAAACCAGAGCACCTCCTTACGTGGCAGCTACTACAGCCTCCATGATGGTAGAGATGGGCTGGATGGCAGCTCGGTAGAAAGCTACCTGGACACTTTGGCAGTGATGTACCAGGTCATCAGACCCCTTCGGACTTGGATCAGTTCAGTGACAGCTCCATCATAAAGGACTGCACAAGCATCCCAAGTTGGATTCGGAGTACTACTGCTCTGGCTAACGATCCAGTTTTTTGCATGGGACTGCAATTACCTTGTATGTATCCTTCTCTGCTGCTGTATTTTTAGTGTGATTTATTTTAATAAGGCAACCTTTTAAAGAAACTTATTCTTAAACTGCTTAATGGTATTTCTCCTAATGGTAATGCTCCTAATATTTATCCAGACTGATTTATTTTTCTCTGTTACAATTATATTTTTATTTATTGTAATAAGTTTTCTCCCTTTCTTATAGTAGCACAGACAAAGTAGAGGGGAAAAATAATAATTGTTTCTTTTTTTGTTTCAGAGTGAGGGGTCAGGGATTATATGAAAAACTTTGCAAAATTTTACAATAAACCAAAGTCTGGTAATTTCCAAAAAAACATTTAACATTTTTATGTATCAGTTTGTGTATGTTTATTGTATTTTTTAATTAATGTAGCTATACTGTAAAATATTACATATATATTTCTGTTTTTTAAAAATAGTATTTAAACATTACCTTTCTTGAAAGAAAAGCAGGAGTATTCTTTTGGATTTAAATGTGTGGGTATCTCTGTAATTCCACAATTCAAATTAGTAAAAGATAACCCAAGAGAATGGCCCAGGGTTTGTTTCCTGCATGATAAATATTTCACAGTCCTGAGAGCAAAAGTTCTGATTTCATAGAACTAGACAGGCCCAAGAATGAGCTTGTCATAAACCCCTATGTGATGCTTACCCTCTAAACAATCAGAGTAAGGACCATATCTGTCAAACATGCTTTTCCTGTCTTCACAATTTCACTTTTCTTGCTCATTATTGCTTCCTTTCTTCTTTACATTTTCATTTAGGAAAAGTTGATTTAATGTTTTTAATTGAAAATGGAATGTTCTCTTATTCAGTATATACCAACTACCATTTCCCCTCCAGTTCTTCCACCTTCACCCCAGCCCTTCTATTCTCCTGCCTCCCAGATCCGCTCCCTCTCCTGTTTCCTCTTCAGAAAAGAGCAGGTCTCCAATAGAGGAGAGCCAAAAAGGACAAAACAAGAAAGAAAAAAAAAAAAAACAAGGCAAAATACTTCATAGTAAAGTTGGACAAGCCATCTCAGTAGGAGGAAAAGAATCTGAAGAGCAGGTAAAAGTGTCAGAGCTACAACCACTCCCATAAAAACACTACCCTCACAGCCATAACATATAAGTTTAGGACCTCGTGTAGATCCATGTAGGCTCCATACTTGCTATTTAAGTCCCTTTGAGGTTCTTGGCCATCCAGACAATCTAAGTCATGTGCTGCCTCTCATGCCCTGGCTTCAAGTTAAACCAAACATTGTTTGGGCACTCAAATAAGTTCTGTGCCACCATACCCCTGCACATCTTGTTAGGAGGACAGATTGTAAGTACAGGATTTTGGAGCTGACTTGGTATCCAGATTTTTTCTTTCTGTGGCCTGTAGTGTACATTATCACCCAAAATAGACTAGAACATAGGGGTGAAGGCTCTAAGACTGCATCTACTAGACCACTCTAAATTCAGTGTGCTATGTGGAAGTTGTCCAGTGCAATGGGTCCCCGATGTTTGTTTTCAGAGAGTCTGTCCTAGCATCTTCATGGCTTGCTTAAAAATCTCTGTAAGACCTCCTTGACCAACACGTCAACTGAATGTAACCCAGTCCCACCACTGAAGCTCTTCTTGGCTACAGAGGAAGCCAGTTTAGACTCCATATGCTACTTTACTATGAGTACCCACTCGATCTACCCTAATAGATTCCAGAAATTTACCAGTGTACTAGGTTTCTATACTAACCCCTAAAAAAACCAGAATTTCAGCTGTTTCTTCCTACACTGAACCTCCCTCCCTTCCACCCCAACCCGTTTCCTCCTCCTCCTATTGCCAGTCAGCCCCAGTCTACCCACAGTAGTGCTCTTTTTTCCCTTTCCAGGGAGATTCATGCTTCCTGCCTATGCCCTTCCTCTTTACTTAACCTCTCTGGGTCTATGGATTGAACCTTGATTATCATTTATCTAATCTCCACTTATCATTGTCATTCTGGATCTGGAATATCTCACTTGGGGAGATTTTTCTACTTGAATCCATTTGCCAGTAAATTTTATGATGTAATTTTTTAGATAAGTGAATAATACTCTATTGTTTAAATGTGCCAGATTTATTCGTCTGTTCTTCAATTGAGGGACATCTATGTTGTTTACAGTTAATGGCTAGTATAAATAATGCAACTATGCCATAGTTGAGCAACTGTCCTTATGGTAGGATGGAGCACCTTTTGCCCAAGAGTGCTATAGCTGTGTCCTGAGGTAGATGAATTCCCAGTTTTCTGAGGAACCATCATATTGATTTCTATCGTGGCTCTAATAGTTCACACTCCCACAACAATAGAGGAGTGTTACTCTAGCTCCATATTCTTGCCAGGCCACAGGGGAAGAGGATGTGCTGACTCCTGGTGCAACTTGCTTTGCTAGGGTGGATTGCTGGGGGCAGGGCCCCATTTTTCTGAGGAGTAGAGGAGGGGTGGTGTAGGGAGGGAGGATGGAACTGGAAAGAGAGGAGGGGGTAGGATCAGGATATAAAGTGAATAAATTAATTAGTTAATTAATTAAAAACAAGTGTCTATATGTGGTAGAAATTATGTCTGGGTCTTCAATTTAATTCCATTGATCAGTGTATCTGTTTTTGTTTTTGTTTTTTGCCTTTATAAGAGGAAGTTTTATTGTTAATTATTTACCTTAATAGTCTCAGAAAGAAGAACAGATTTTAGTTCAGTCCAACATGATTTGCAGTTGGCAAAATCTAGTGAAGCAGGTGTTCTGATTGCTAAGGATTTAATTTGGGTGCTCTTAATACTTAGCCATCTAACACTTCGAACATAATCCAAAACAATCCATCATCCCCTCCTTTTCACTTTAAAACCACAGCTACCTCCCCTCATTGTAGAAATGTCTTCATTAAATATGATTCCCAGAGTACTGGTTCCCTAGAGCATACAGCCATGAGGACAGTGCACAAAAAGAAAACTGAAGATAAAACTGTATGATAATTTACTAATCTAAGGAGACAAAACCTTCCAATATATTAAGAAATAAATTCAGTTACAAATGCACGAGTGGGTCTATGTGAAGGCTCTGGTAGAGTAACTGAAAACAGCCGGTTATTTACAAGATACACGAGCAGGAACGGTGCACCTAGCCCAGTACTGGCCCTCAGAAGCCAAAAGAGTTCTCTCCACTGTAGGCCACATAAAAGAATCCATCTTCATCTGTTTCCTTCTCGTAAAGCTGTCCCATAGTTAGGCTGGACTGTGGGACTGTCTTGTCCACAAAGATGGCCTTCTCAGAAGGAAGCTGGATCCTTTTCCTGATGATCCTCATGAACTGAGCCACAGTGATGTCAGATGGAACCAAGTACTTCCTTTTATCAATGTCAACAATCTGAGAGCCTGAGACCTTTTCCACGATCACTGGAACCCGGTTGGGGCACTTCGCTCTGATCTTCGCGGATTCCATGCATCTGTGTTCCAGCGAGTGGTCCTCCTTAAACATCCACTTCATGGTAGCAGGAGGCAACAGAGGCGGCTCTTTGAGCCGCAGTCTTCGGCAAAGCGACCACACCCAGTTTTTATGCCAATGCCATGCAGTTCTTTTCTTGCTCAGGATTGTATTAGCTATCCTGGGTTTTTGTTATTCCATATGAAGCAGGGAAATGTACCTTTAAAGGTCTGTAAACTATTCTGTTGGAATTTTGAATGTGATTGTGTTGAATCTGTAGATTGTGTCAGGATGGCCATTTTTGCTGTTAATTCTACTGACCTACAACTATGAGAAATCTTTCTATCTACTTGTATATTCAATTTTTTTCGTCAAAGACTTGAAGTTTTTAATCATGCAACTCCTTTACTTGCTTTATTAGAGTTACTCTAACACATTTTATATTATTTGAGACTATTGTGAAGGGTGTTGTTTCCCTGATTCCTTTCTCAGGCCATTTGTCATTTTTATATGAAAAGGCTACTGGTTTTGCTTGAGTTATTCTTGTATCTAGCCACTTTCCTGAAAGTGTTTATCACATAGAGAAGTTTGGTAATAGAATTTTGGGGGTCACTTATATATATCATCTGCCATTTAGGATACTTTGACTTCTTTCTTTTCATATTATATTCCTTTGATTGTTTTGGGGTGTATTATTGCCATAGCTAGAACTTTAATATTGAATAGATATTGTAAGAGCGGACAGCCTTGTTTTGTTCCTGAATTTAGTCAGTTGATTTGAGGTTTTCTGCATTTAATTTGATGTTGGCAATAGGATTTCTATAAATTTTCTCTATTATGTTTAGATATGTTCTTTGTATCTCTAATCTCTCAAGACTTTTCTCATGCGGTGGTATTGGCTTTTGAGGAAGGCTTGTTTGTTATCTGATGGGATGAAGGTGTGGTTTACTGCTTTCAGTTTACTTTTATAGTAAGTTACATTTACTAATTTTCATATGTTTAACCATCCGAGCATCTTGAAGATGAAGCATATTTGATTATTGTGGGTGATCTTTTGATGTTGCTTGAAATAAGTTGCCGCTAGAATTTTATTGAGTATTTTTGCACCTATATTCATGAAGAAAATTGGTCTTTCTTGAGTTGTTATGTGCTTTGGGTATCAGGGTAACTCTAGCTAAATAAAATGAATTGGATAAGGTTACCTCTGTTTCTATTTTGTAGAATACTTTCAGTAGTATTGGTATTAAGTCTTTAAAAATCTGTTTGGATTCTAGGTTGAAACCATGCTGCCCTGGGCTCTTTTGGTTCAGAACTTGTTGTGATTTCTTCTATTTCACTAGGGGTTATATGTCTATTTAAATTCTCTATGTTATTCTGATTTAACATTGGTAATGTGGTACCTATTGAGAAAATTAACTATTCATATATATATATGAATATATATATATATATGAATAGTTATATATATATATATATGTATGTATAACATATAAAATATATGTACTTTAAATTTTCTAATTAGGTGCAGTGCAGGTTTTTAAAGGAGTCCTGAGTCTCAGAAATCCCCATTTTCTGTTGTTATGTCCCCTTACCATTTCTAATTTTATTACTTTGGATATTCTCTTTCTGTCCTTCAGTTCATTTGGAAATGAGTTTCTCTATTTTAAGAATTTTTCTAAAAGAGCTAACTGTGTTTCAGTGATTCTTTGAATTTATTATTATTATTATTATTATTATTATTATTATTATTATTTTATTCATTTTAATCCTCAATTTGATAGTTTCTTCCTTTCTCCTCCTCTTGGGTGTGCTTACTTCTTTGTGTTTTCAGGTGTGTTATTAACTTGCTCCTATGAAATTGCTCCATTTTCTTTTAATGTAGACACTTAGTGCTATAAACTGTCCTCTTACCACTACTTTTATTATATCCCATAAGTTTCAGTATGCTGTGTATTCATTTTCATCGAATTCTAGAAAGTCTTTGATTTCTTTCTTTTTTTCTGTCTTAATTCACTTTTTATTCAGTAACAGTTGCTGAGTTTCCACAACTTTGTAAGCTTTATGTTGTTTCTATTGTTGATGAAATGAAGCATTTATCCATGGTGGGCTGATAGGACATAGGTTATTTTAATTTTTTTATCCGTTTAGACTTCCTTGTAGTTCAGTTACTTGGTGACTTTAAAAAAGATTCATGAGGTGCTGAGAAGAAGGTATATTCTTTTGTGTTTGGGTGGATTGTTCTATAAACTCAGTTAGGTTTATTTGTTTGTTAATGTCAGTTAGCTCAAGCATTTCTCTGCTTAGTTTCTGTCTGGAGGACTTGTCCATTGGTGAGGGAGATATTGAAGACTCCCACTCTGAGGTCATGAACATCACTGTGTGATTTAAGCTGCAGAAGTGTTTCTTTAAGAACTGTGGTGTTGTTATGTTTGGGACATAGATGTAAGAATTAGAAGGTTCTCTTTATGGATTTTTTTTTCTTTTTTGATGCATATGTCATATCCTTCCCCATCTCTTTTTATTAATTTTTGTTTGAAGTCCATTTTGTTAGATATTGAAATACCTACACAAGCTTGCTTTCTAGTTCCATTTGCTTGGAATATCTTTTTCCACCCCTTTACCTCAAGGTTAGGTATATCCTTCACATTGAACTGGTTTCTTGTATGAAGTGGAAGGATAGATCTTGTTTTCCCTTCCATTCTGTTAATCATTCTATGTGTGCCGTTATTTTTTTAATTGGGGAATTAAGGCCATTGATAGTTAGAGATAGGAATGAGCACTGACATATCTGTTATTTTGTTGGTAGAGATGGTAGTGGTGTGTGTGTGTGTGTATGTGCACGCACATGTGCATTTTCCTTTCTTTGCTTTTCCTGATACTGTGAGATTTTTTTATTTCCTCTGTGTTCATGTATGTATTTAGCATTCTTAGGTTGTAGTTTTCATTGTAGCACCTTCTTAATGTGCTGTATTTCTAGATAGATTTTATTTAAATTTAAACTTATCATGGAATATCTTCAATTTCTCCGCTTATGATTATTGAAAGTTTTCTGGATATAGTAACCTGGGCTGGCATCAGTGGCTTTTTAGAGTTTGCAGCACATGTGTCCATGCCCTTCTGATGCTTAGAGTCTCCATTGAGAAATCATGTGTAATACTAAGAGATCTCTTTTTTATCTTACTTGGTCGATTTTCTTTGCACCTTTTAATATTCTTTCTTTATTCTGTATGTTTAGTATTTTAATTATTATGTGATAAGGGAACTATCTTTTATTATTTGGTAATTTTGTATGCTTCTTGTACCTTGATAGGCATCTCCTTCTTTAAGTTAGGGAAATTCTCTTCTGTGATTTTGTTGTAAATATTTTCTGGACCTTTGAGCTGGTATTCTCCTTTTTCTATTCCAATTATTTGTGGGCTTGGGCTTCTCATAAAGGTCCAGAGTTCCAGGATGTTTTGTACCATGAAATTTTTAGATTTAACATTTTCCTTACGTGATGTATCCATTTCTTCTATTGTATCTTTAATGATTGAGATTCTTTCTTCCATTTGTATTCAGATGATATTAGGGATCGTAGGGATCTATGGAGGCGTGGCCAATGGGGAGGGAATGCTGCCTCTGGTGTGCTATTCCAGTGCTAGGGGCAACTGAAAATTAGGTCTTGGGTAACAGATAGTGTGGTAAACCTGTGGACAGCCTTCCTGGTCTTTTGGAAGGCATGGCATGTGTTTGAGCAAGGGGTGTCTACCCAAGTAGATGCTAAGACACTAAGATGAGGCAGGAAAGGAAGGTTGGGTGGGGATGGTCCATTGGATGCACAGGAGGTGTGGACAGGAGGAAATGAAGCTGCCCCTCAAATTCTTCAGGATGTTCTGTGGTATCTACAGTGGGTGTGGAAAGGGAAAGAGAGAGATACAGCACTAGGGGCAGCCCTAAGTATTGGATCTCAGATAACAGAGAGTGGGGATGGTCCACAAGCATCATACCTGGTCTCTTACCCTACATCTTAATCCTGATGATCAAGTTCTCAGGAATTTTTTTTTTACTTTGTTCTTTATTTCATTTTTTGTTGTTAATCTGTAAAAGACTTTTAATTGTATAAAACTAAGGAAAATTACTTTGTGGGCTAAGCAGGTCACTCAGGAAGTATTCTTCTTGGGGTAGACCTAAGTTCAGATACCAGCACCCATGTCTGCAGGTTCATAAGCACCTTCTTCTTGAGATTCTGGGGATCAGACACCCTCTTCTCTGTTGTGTCATCTGTACACACATGGACAACATTCTGTCTCTCACATACAACCATAAACATAAAAGTGGGGAGACTTGTTTTCAAAACTGCTTTTATGACTTTTAAAGGAATTTGAGCAAGTAAGCTGCTTCAGGTGTTTAATACAAAACTTACATTTTTTAAAAAAAATATCTGTTATCTTGTCTTTGGTTTTTAAAACTTTGCATTTCCTCAAAGTCTGCTGCAGACTTAAATATAATCATCAATTATAGGAAACAAAATGCTTTCTAAGTGATGCTAATAGACATCTTTTTTCTTAATCATAAGAGAATGAGATACTTTTAGTAGTCAAAACTACTTTCTCCAAAATTAAAACATTAGAATTCTTAATTTTTCCACTTTTAGTAGAGTAGCCAGGCCTCCACTCCCAATCTGTTTTCTATTATAGAAAAAGGAGAGAACAGAGTGCTCAGGATGTGTACTGACCACCGATTTTTTGATTTGGATTTTGATTATAATCTTGTAGTTTATTAATTAAATGAGTGTTATCTTTATAGGTCTGTTTTTGTATATCTTTTTTCAAGTGGTGCAATCTACGTTTTATGATTCTAATTATTATAATCTAATTGTATGGTTGTTTCCCTAGGAAATAATAGCACTTTACCTATTTTTGTCTTCTGAAATTTTACTACATTGTCTTATGAGTTTATTGAGTTTTTGTTTGTTTGGGGACTTTCTGTTGACAAACACTTTCAGTTTCCTTTTTGCCCCTCAAGGCTTGGTTCTTCTCATTTCTTGATAAATCTCCCCCCCACCTCGTTTGTTGCAGTCATCAGTATTTGGGTTTTGCTACTTAAATGGTTGATGTGATGCTGCACATAGGGAGTGGAAGTAACCAAACCAATAGATGTATGAGAAGTTGCAGTGAGAGGGTCATCTAAGCTCTTTGAAACTGAAGCTTCATGTGCCTGAGACAGAACTTCAGGATTTGGTCTTTGCCCTGTTGGGTTTCTTCTATTGGTCCAATCTTCCCTCACTATGTACCCATTCTTCTCTACTCAATTGGAAACAGTGTTCTGTGCCATTGAATGTTGGTAAGATACAACTTGTTTTGTTTATTTTACAAAATGTGATAGTCCAGAGATTTCCTGGAGTATCAAAAGACACTGTGGACACTTGGACAGTGTAGGGGCTGTTGCAGACAGGGAGATTACTGGGAGTCAGATTAAATGCATTTTTATATTGGGATGACTATGAGACTATATGACAAGAATCAGAATATAGTTGGTTGAATCACAAAGCTCTCAGATAGGATTATGTCTTTGAACACTCTTCTTTCCTTGGTGGCTTTCTTTGGGGAGCTTATGGGATCTTTTGCAGGAAAAACTTTTCTAGATGAAATTCCTCATTGGGGATGGGATTTGAGTGTTTATAGACTCAAGCTATTTCCTGTTCTTTGTGTCTACTATAATGTGGTTGGAACTGTTTATTCAGCTACTTTTTCATGCTGTCATGCCTTCACCATAATAAACTCTATTCCTAGATCACATAAGATACAATAGAAACAATTTTTATTCAGTGGTAAGCTATTTTGCTAGCTTAATGTTTTTATATTTTGAATTTGTTTTGTATTTGAAGACTATGTTTCTCTGTGTATGTTAGACTGTCCTCAAAGTAGGCTTATAGACTAGCCACGCCTCAAATTTAAAGATCCAACGAATTTGGCTCTTGATTGCTGAGACTGTAAGGACTATAAGTAGATCATCATGCCTGGGTTTTGTCTTTGTTTTTTGTTTTTGCTTTTATGTTATTGGATGCAAGGCCTAGAATGTAGGTTTTTTACATCTCAAACATATGTTGTTGCTGAGCTTCACCCACATTTTGAATTTTAAAACTTGGCAGAGAGTATCATTCTATTTTCCAGGATGATATGTACTTATGACATTAATACTACCTGAGCCTTCTGAGTCATTGGACTGCAGGTGTGACATTCTTCCTACCTGTTGTGTGTTTGTTTTGAATTTATGTTGGAATGAATATGAGTAGTTTGCCTGTATGCATGAATAGACCTCATGTGTGCCTGGTACTCACAATATTCAGAAGATGGCATCAGAACTCCTTAACTGCTTGGAATAATGGATAGTTGTGATCAGCCATGTAAGTAATGGCAAATTATCGCTTTTATTTTCAGGGCGAGCAAGAACTCTACACTGTTGAGCTGTATCTCCTGCCCTATGTTGTTAATTTAGCACCAACATTTACACTTTCATCTATCCATTTGTAACTGTTTAAATATGCATTCCCTTTTAGTAAGATCTTGTTAAACTTATTGTTTAAACTGAGGCACCTCAGAATTCTGGAATATGTATACAGAACAGGAAGGGATGCATAAATCTTAGGAATTTAAGGAAATACTTCTGAGTTGTTTTTACCTTTCTTGTTGGAGTGGTTGATTTTTGGAGGAGAGAAAGGGTTTTAATATGTGTGTGTGGCTGTTCTTGAACTCATTACATAGACCAGGGTGATATCTAACTCAATGAGATACTTCTGCCTCTAAGTGCAGGGATTAAAGTCGTGAGCCAGTAGAGCCAGCTTGCTCACTGTTTGTTGTAGTTAATAGTTGTTCATACAATTTCTCTGATTTGTGCTCAATAGTGTTAATCTGTTTGATTTTTCTTCTATATTTGTTGTTTAGCATTTCTCTTGCAAGGCTATATCCTATTCAAAGTGTACAAAAATGACAGCGGTGAACCTCATTATTACGTTTCCTTCTAAAATTACTTTGTAATTTTGTTAGAACTTCTATGTCAGGTAATAATTGGGGAAGAACCAGAATTATATGAATATATTGGCAATGAAGCATACATCTTCAATTTTGTCCATATCGTGTTTTCTGTTGTGTATATATTTGTGATGTTTTAGGATGTAGTGACCTATGATGATGTGCATGTGAACTTCACACAGCAAGAGTGGGCTTTGCTGGATTCTTCCCAGAAGAGTCTCTACAAAGATGTGATGCTGGAGACCTACAGGAACCTCACTGCTATAGGTAAGACTGAATTTTCTCTTGCTTCTCTGTAATTTCAACTGAGAAGGAAGAATGAGGTGAATGAATCAGGCATGATTTTAAGGTTCACTGAAGATAGTAATTTTGCATAATTTCCAATAATATATCATACATTTTCTGATTTTATTTTAGGCTATAATTGGGAAGACAACAATATTGAAGAACATTGTCAAAATTCTAGAAGACATGAAAGGTAATTTTCATGTGCAAGCTGATACAAATATGCCTCTGAAGAAATTTTAGTGTGTCCTGGAAGTTTTAAGGAAAAGCAATAGTATAAATAAACACAGCCTTAGCTGTATTGATCATTATTAATACTGTGCACCTCAGTGGTATGTATTTTATTTGTGTTTTCAAGGCATTCTTTTAAGAAAGAAGACATGGGAACAACGCCTTTACAGATATCACTATATGAATCATAGCCCCATTAAAGCTATGCTGTTGATCTGCCGATCCACTTAGTCTTGTACCAACCACTCACATATTGCAAAAGGTATACACATTGAATAGGTGATAAGTGTATGTCCAAAACCTAATAAGCACATAGTCCATAGTAGAGCTGGTAATACTCATATACTTGTAGGAATATTGCTAAGTTTCATAAGAGGGGCAGTTTATAGAAGTCAAGAAGCTTGCTGTGGAGAAACCTTAGTTCCCATACAACATGTTTTTGGAGAGAAAAAGGTCAATCTCTGTGACTGCAATGTGCAAACCTTTTCTTTCTTATTCTTCCTTTCATAGGTATATTATATGTCACAATGGATAACAAGCCATGTATGCATGAGTGATGTTGAAAGAAGCAATGTACCTATTTCTATCCCAGAGCAATTAGAAAATATGTGGTAGTCCTCAGCTAGGCTACACTTTTTTTAATGTGATGAAGTTTACAATTAATGGGTTTTACAACTTCATTGGGAAAATTTTCATAATGTCATACTGCAGAAAATCTACTAGGAATGTGGAGATTCTTTTCTTGGTCCTGGTTTGCTTTGCATAGTATGACTCACTACATTGGAAAACTTAAGAATGCATTCAGTGTGGTAATTCTTTCAGTTTTTCCTGTTCTCTTTACATTTGTTAATCACCTCATACAGGAAAAGGATGCTATAAGTATGAGCCATGTAATAAATGCTTTTAACATTACAGGTATCTTCAAAGATGGAAAATAACACATAATGAAGGGAACACCCTGAATGTAAACAAAGTGATTAAAAACTTACTATCTGAATTCTCTTTAAAATTAGACAAAATTGTAAAAACAATTCATGCAGATAAAAAGATTCATCAGTGTAATAAATGTGATAAAGCTTTCACATGTTTCTATTATCTTTACAGACATGAACGAAGTCATACTAACAAGAAACCCTACAAATGTAATCGATATGATAAAGCCTTTTCACAACATCATCATCTCCGAATGAATAAAAGAACACGTACTAGAGAGAAAAGCTATGAATGTAGTGAGTGTGGGAAAGCCTTTGCACGTCACAGTCATCTTCAATGTCATGAAAGAATTCATACTGGAGAAAAGCCCTACAACTGTAATCAATGTGGGAAAACCTTTACATGGTACTGTAGTCTTCAAAAGCATGAAAGAATTCATAGTGGAGAGAAACCCTTCAAATGTAATCAATGTGAGAAAGCCTTTTCACAACACAGTAGTCTCCAAATGCATAAAAGAACACATACTGGAGAAAAACCTTATGAATGTAATCAGTGTGGTAAAGCCTTTGCACGTCATAGTCGTCTTCAAAGTCATGAAAGAATTCATACTGGAGAGAAGCCTTATGTATGTAATCAGTGTGGTAAAGCCTTTGCACGTCACAGTAATCTCCAACAACATAAAAGAACACATACTGGAGAGAAACCTTATGAATGTGACCAGTGTAATAAAGCCTTTGCATGTCACAGTACTCTCCAAAAACATAAAAGAACACATACTGGAGAGAAACCCTATGAATGTAACCAATGTGGGAAAGCATTTACACGTCAGTTTTATCTTTCAGTACATAAAAGGATACATAATGGAGAGAAACCTTATGAATGTAATCAGTGTGGGAAAGCCTTTGCATGTCACAGTTTTCTCCTAGCACATAAAAGAGCACATACTGCCGAAAAACACTATGAATGTGATCAGTGTGTTAAAGCCTTTGCATGTCAGAGTCATCTCCTAATACATAAAAGAATACATACTGGAGAAAAACCTTATGAATGTAGTCAATGTGGTAAAGCTTTTGCATATCACAGTAGTCTCCAACAACATAAAAGAACACATACTGGAGAGAAACCTTATGCATGTAATCAATGTGGTAAAGCTTTTGCACGTCACAGTCATCTTAAAAGACATGTAAATATGCATAATGGAGAGAAACCATATTCATGTAATCAATGTGATAAATCATTTGCAAGTTACAGTAATCTCCAAATACATAAAAGAACACATACTGGAGAGAAACCCTATGAATGCAAACAATGTGGAAAAGCCTTTACACGTCAGAGTTATCTCCTAATACATGAAAGAACACATACTGGTGAGAAACCCTATGAATGTGATCAATGTGATAAAGCCTTTACATGTCATAGTTATCTCCTGATACATAAAAGATCACATACTGGAGAGAAACCCTATGAATGTGATCAGTGTGCTAAAGCCTTTATATGTCAGAGTTACCTACTGATACACAAAAAAACACATACTGGAGAGAAATCCTATGAATGTGATCAGTGTTCTAAAGCGTTTACACGCCATAGTTATCTCCTAATACATAAAAGAACACATACTGGAGAAAAACCTTATGTATGTAATCAGTGTAGAAAAGCCTTTGCACATCACACTCAACTTCAAAGGCATGAAAGAAACCATACTGTACAGAAACCTTACAAATATAAAATCATGTGATCAAGTGTAATGGCATGTAAAAGCCTTTATGTCTGGCTTTAAGTGAAATGTATAGTAAATCCTTTATTCTGGCATTGAGTAAAATGTTTTAGGAAAGCCTTTGCTATATTTGGATTAATAAGTCGATGCTGAGGAATTGTTTTGAGATTGTTTGAACTTTCAAGGAATGTCTCGGAAAATCTGCACTTGCTGCTATGCGGGAGCTTGTAGCTACACAGAACTTGGTTCTAAAACACTCCCAGGTAACCTGGTGTTCTTTTTTCATTATGGCTAGGATTGAGATTTGTGCAGGCTGTCTGCTCTCATGGACAGAAAGGAATATAATTTGGGTAGGTGAAATTTACCCAGCCCCAGTTACCTTGTATAAGGCTTGAATAATTTAAGTGGGGTGAACTAGTGGGTGTCAAGTCTTTTCCAATAAGCCTGAACCCCTCTTCTCCTTTGGAAAATGAAGGCATAGCATCTTGGTGAGCTTCTCTCTCCATTTTGGCATCCACAGCCAACATCAAACAATAGTGGAGCATTTTCACAATGCAGTAGTCTCCAAATACATAAAAGACTATATACCTGGGCAAAACCCTACCAATGTAATTGTTGTAAAAGCAAAAATCCCAGATGTCCAATTTGACCAATGAAGAATCAGGAACCAGATGCTGGGGTAAAAAAGCCTCTTAGCTTAGAGAGGCAGAGAAAAGACACAGCTGACCTTCATACTCAGCCAATGTCCTAGAAAGAAAAAAAATGTCTTCTTCCTGCTCCATGCTGTCTTCAATACCTTCCAACTCAGTGTCCCTCCTTTCTACTTTCTGTGTTTTCTTATGTTTACTCCTTGTAACTGGTTGCTTGATCTGCCTTTTGACCCTTCATTGATGTTATTTAATCTTGTTTAGAGAAAGCTTTTGTGTTAAAGATGCATGCTAGTTGATGAACCAACCTCAACTAAAAACAGATTTTTCCAGTATGCAATCTGGGAGTTCACAATGTGCTCAAATATCCTGCTACATGTAGTCAGTATAATCAAAGCCTTGCATATCACAGTAGTCTATCTATCCTCAAATACATAAAAGAACACATAGTGGAGAGAACTCTATGAATATAATCAATGTGGTAAAGGTGTTTACATATCACAGTCATATCAAAATCATAAAAGAATTCATATTGAAGAATAACCAACACTATGAATGTTATCTGTGTGATAATATCTTTGCATAGCAAATTACTTTTTTTATATTGTGAAAAGAATTCATACAAGTGTAACATCTTTATTATGTAATCAATATGTTAAAGACTTTGCCAGTCATAATACTACATGTCACAGTAGTCTTTATATACATAAAAGAATATATACTGGGGAGAAACCTTACAAATGTAATCAATGTGATAAAGCCCTTTCACACAACAGTAGTCTTCAAAGGCATAAAATTCATAATATGGAAATACCTTCTAAATGTAAATAAATGTGATAAAGTGTGTAAAATGTAAATAAATGTGATAAACTTTTGTTTGGCTGTAAAATGTTTTAAAATTAAAATATAAAACATTTGTTTTTTTCTTTGAGTAAAATTTTGCAGCAGAGCCTTTGCTTTGTTTGGATTAGTCAGTGGAGGCTGAGAAATTGTCTTCAAATTTTTTCACCTTGCAGAAATGTGGTCTCTCTAGGAAATCTGCACTTGGTGCCACATGGTAACTTGTGGCTGTACTGACCTTGGTCCTAAAATGCTCCTGGCAAATGTGGAGTTCTTACTTAAAGGTTTTCTGATCTCACAGATAGCAAGGGTAAGATAACTTTGGTAGTTTTAACCTTTCTCAACTCCAATTAACATTGTATAATGTTTGAATAAAGTAACTGGAGTGTTCTGGCAGAGTGTCTCTCATTTCCAAGAAGACTGATTCCTTCTGCTTCTTGGAAAATGAAGGCTTAGCATCTTGGCAATCAATGTGGTGAGGCCTTTGCACATCACAGTGATTTTCTAATGCACAAAAGAAAACATACTGGAAAGAAATTTGTTATGAATGTAACAAATGTGGGAAAGAGTTTCTCTCTTCAGGTGGATATGGAGTGCAAACTATTCTTAACTCAGCCTCAACATCATCTGCTCTGCCGAGACTCCATGGGCACAGCCTATTCTTCTTAAGCCCCTGGTGTAAGAAACTCGGACTTCTCAGGGTTCTTTCCGAAGAGTCATGGAAATGAAGGCACCATGTCTTAGGATCTCTGCTTTCTATGGCTACCTCACAGGCAAACTGGCTTGACAAAATAGGCCTTTGGATCAGCAATGTTCTAGTCTTTTCTCTGTAAGAAGTAAAGAGAGAGAACAGTGTAGAGGGAGAGACACTAGTCTACAACTGATGCCCTTATGTTTATCTTTTTTTTTTTTTGAGATAGGTTTGATCTGAAATAACAAAGATGAAAATGAATACCTTTTTTTCCGTCTGTATATATATATATTTTTTTAATTGTTACACAGACACCTCTATTTCTGGGATTTCAGAGACACATCCAAACACACCACAGAAGAAAATTCTAACTGTATTCCAATGTGTGTTTTAAATTGTCTTTAATTGCATTGTTGCTGAAAGCTGTAGGTTTTCTGTAGGGTCTAGAGAACATTCCTGGCAAGTACTTTTCAATTAGTACCTACTGTTGCACACAGATGACAAAATAGATTCTGTCTACTCCCTCATCTCTCCCCCAGAATAACCATGTTTGTTCCTATACAACTAATTAAATGAGCCTCCATCATGACACCAGATATGTCTTCATTTAATACAATGATGCATTTTGCTTTGTCCCAGAAAAGCTATAACATGGAAGCCTTAAAACTGCTTTATGAAGAAAAAGGTCTGGAGAGCCTGCAATCACCTTCAAAAAGACCAGTTTAACTATGGTTTCCTTTGAAACATTCTCATTGTATTCACAAATCAAGCTTTCCTATGATCCCCATCTAGAAAAAGAGGTTAGGGAGATTTCCCCCAAACTAATAGACATATATGTCCAGACAGTGGTTCATGTAGTAGCCTCTGAGACTCTGAGGACCCAAAATTCAGTGTGAAGTGTACCTGGGTGCACTGTAGAGACTGGAAAAGGATATTTGAAATAGAAAGGCCAGTCTGCATAGCACTACTATTCTGGCTACGACAGAAGTATGGAAGACTGACACAGATTTCTGGAAGCAAGATTGTCACACTGTCCGGAAGCAGGAAACTACTGAGGAGGAGGCATGACAGGCAGCTCTATAGTTTGGCAGAAATGAGACTCACAAAAAGACAAAGGAAAAAGATGCTCTAAAGTCTCTTGACATTTGAAAGTTGGTGGCAGTGTTGGTGGTGGTAATGGTGGAGATGATGATGGGGATGGTCACTGATAGAGGATGGTGCTTTTATCAGTGACCTGGATCTCAAGTTAAAGCAATCATTGTTTGACCACTCAAACAAGTTCGGTGCCATCATCCCCTACATATCTTGCAGGATTGTCCGGGGAGAGCTTTGTAACTGTCTTGGTGTCCAGGTTTTTCTTTCTGTAGGCTGTAGAGTACCTTCTTGCTCCAAAGAGACTAGAACATAGGAGTGAAGTCTGTAAGCTGGCACTTGCTAGAACTCTCTACATGCAGTGGGGCCCAGCTGTCTGTTTTCAGAGAGCAAAATTTTGCCCTAGCATCATCTTGGATTGTTTAGGAATCTCCATGGAACCTTCTTGGCCAACAATTGAACTGAAAGTAACCCAGTCCTACCAGGAAGCCCTGCTTGGCTACAAATAATAGCCCATTCAGACTCTATATTCATCACTAGGGTCATCTGAATAGATTCCAGGAAGTTACAAGGGCACTAGGTTTCTACACTAGCCCCCAAATCCCTCCTAATTTCAGCTGTTTCTTCCTACACTGAACTCTTTCCCTCCATTCCATCTCCCACTGTTTCCTACTCCGGTTGCCATTCACCTCCAGTCCACCCACAGTATCTATTCTTTTCCCCCTTTCTAAGAAGATTCATGACACTAGTGTGTACTCTTCAGTCTCTTTTCCTCCTATTGGGAATCCTTGTCCTACCATAAGATGAATTTTGCCTTGTCTTTTTTTTTTTTTTAATCTTTTTCTGTCCTGTTTGGCTGTCCTCTCTTGGAGACCTGCTCTTTTCTGAAGATGATACAGAGGAGAGGGAATGGATCTGGAGGAGTGGGGGGAAGCTGGGAGAAGTGGAGAAAGGGAAACAATGGTCAGTATATATTCTATGAGAGAAGATTCTGTTTTTAAGAAAAACATTTATTCATATTTTTCCTAAATGAAAATGCAAAGAAGAAGGGAAACAATGAACAGGAAAGATGAAATAGTTAAGATGGAAAAATCATAATTTTGACAGATACTGTTCTAATTCTACAAGCCTAGAGGGTGAGCATCAAACAGGAGTTTATGACAGGCTCATTCTTGGACATATCTAGTTTTGTGAAATCAGAACTTTTGCTCTCAGTACTGTGAAATATATGTCATTCAAGAAAAAAAAAAAAAACAGGCCATTTTCTTGAGTTGTCTTTTACTAGTTTGGATTGTGGAATTACAGAGGTACCTGCACATTTAAAGCCAAAAGATTACTCTTACTTTTCTTTGAGGAAAACTAATTTTTAAATAACTATTCAAATAATAGAAATATATATGATGTTATACTGTACGGCTATGTTAATTATATATATGTCCCAACCTGCGGGGCTTCAATGGAAGGAATGGGGGGGGGGAGGGAACAAGAAACGCAAGAAATAGAGGCTAAATCTGTTTGTCTGATCAAAGCATCGTTTACTAGAAATTTTTACCCAACTTATATAGGGAGAAGGCAGGAAAGGGGGAAGGCTAAATTACTGCTGCAGGAGATAGGAAGAGTGCTTTCATGGGTTGAATATTGCACCTGCAAGATACCATAAGGGTGTTTTCTTAAGATATGTCACAGATGCTCTAAAACTAACAGATGGATGTCCTCACAAATCTATCATCCATGATTTAGGGTCCTAGGAACTCTTTCACTAAATAGCTTTAGGTCTCCACTAAATGACCTTTGCTCACTATTGGGCTTTGGCTTCAGTAAATAGCTTTGTCTCCACTAAATAGCTTTGGCTCACTATTTGACTTTGGCTTCAGTAAATAGCCTTGGCTCCCGGCATATATATATAATACATGAAACATAGACAAAGTGATAACATAAAAATGTTAAATGTTTAAACATATTCTCCAAAACAAAAATGAAAGTTTTACCATCTAAGGCTGGTTAATTGACCAGAAGAAAACAAAGAAATGAGTCATTTGTCTAAGACTATTACATCTTTGTTAAATAATAATTTATTTTCTTTATTTTAATTCATACAAGTCAGTCTATTTTTTTAATATTTATTTATTATGTGTACAGTGTTCTGCCTGCACGCCAGCAGAGGACACCAGATCTCACTATAGATGGTTGTGAACCACCATGTGGTTGCTGGGGATTGAACTCAGGACCTCTGGAAGAGCAACTGGTGCCCTTAACCTCTGAGCTATCTCTCCAGCCCATCAGTCTGTTTCTTAACCCCATTTTCACCTTTTCATGCAGCATGGCAGAAAGCTCATTGGCAGAAAGCTCTCATACCTTCCAAATAAAGCATCTTTCTGCATTTTTACAACATAGTAGCACATTTGCTTATCATCTCCATAACAACTCTAACTACAAAAATATTGACATTTAATTATTCTTCTCCTCCTCCTTCTTCTTCACACACCAACTAACAGAACATTAGAAAAACCCTTTGAAGGTGATTGTTCAGCTAGATTCTGTGTTCTTCCTGCTCATTTTTTATTGTTACCTGTAGTATAGACAAGATAGCTGAATTTAGTTGCTAACTGTGCAAAATCTCAAACTATGTCTAATACACATTCAGATTCATTGCTCAGTTATGGAGCATGTTTTATTTTCATTCTTTTTGTTTTCTCAATTAAATCATACAGAAACTCAACCAGGAAAAATGTGAACTTGACCAATGTTATCTGTGATCATATGTTTAGAAAGTACGTCAACACAGACTTCACAGCACCCACAAAATAACACAAAGTGACCCCAAAACTGTTATATTTCTGAGCTTCCAGTTACTTCTGATATTTCTTCCAAACAGAAAGACCCCATTCTCAGAAGCTGTATTTTATGCCAGGGAAGCTTCATACGAATAGCAGCTTGTGTCTACTACTTCCAGAGGAGAAAGGAAAGGAAACAGGAGACTTTTATGAAGTCAGCAGAAACTATCCTACAATGAAACAAACTCAGGAGGAGTATAATAAAACAATGTTGCACAAGAGGAACACAGGGTATCTCAAAGGCATGACTGACCAAGAACACAGTGGCCTTGGGAATGATATCCCACAGCCTTGTGTGATGGGAAAAGTTGGGTTCTCAGAATCTCAGGCAAGCCCTCCCCAAAATCCCTGGCTCCAGACCATTATCATCACTCCCCAGCACATTCCTGGTTTTAGAGAAGAAGCTCAGTTTTCTTTAATCTATATGTCATGGATTTAAGGAAACCTCCCAAGGCCAAGGCCTTGTTACAGGCTATGATAATACTCTTGGGTTTGAGAAG